TCAGATGAGACCAAGATAAACTTATTTGGTTTAGATGGTGTCAAGCGTGTGTGGCAGCAACCAGGTGTGGAGTACAAAGACAAGTGTGTCTTGCCTACAGTCAAGCATGGTGGTGGGAGTGTCATGGTCTGGGCCTGCATGAGTGCTGCCGGCACTGTGGAGCTTCAGTTCATTGAAGGAACCATGAATGCCAACATGTATTGTGACATACTGAAGCAAAGCATGATCCCCTCCCTTCAGAGACTGAGCCGCAGGGCAGTATTCCAACATGATAACGACCCCATACAGACCTCCAGGATGACCACTGTCTTGCTAAAGAAGCTGAAGGTAAAGGTGATGGACTGGCCAAGCATGTCTCCAGACCTAAACCCTATTGAGCATCTGTGGGGCATCCTCAAATGGAAGGTAGGGGAGCGTAAGGTCTCTAAAATCCACCAGCTCCATAATGTCATCATGGAGGAGTGGACTCCAGTGGCAACCTGTGAAGCTCTGGTGAACTCCATGCCCATGAAGGTTAAGGCAGTGCTGGAAAATAATGGTGGACACGCAAAATATTGACACTTTGGACATTTCCACTTAGGGGTGTACTCACTTTTGTTGCCAACGGTTTAGACATTAACGGCTGTGTGTTGAGTTATTTTGAGTGGACAGCTATTTTACACTGTTATACAGGCTGTACATTTAGTACTTTACATTGTAGCAGAGTGTATTTTCTTTAGTGTTGTCACATGAAAAGATATAAAAAATTTACAAAAATGTGACGTACTGTATATACACACACATATATATATACACACTAGTACATAGAGGCCACCCCATTGTACAGTGCTACAGAATTTTCTGGTGCTATATAAATAATAAAAATCATAATATACATATGTACATAGTGAAACAAGATCTCTTTTTTTGACAGGGTAAAAAAACCTGTAATGTACATACAGACACACAGATACATGCACAGACACAGTGACACACACATGCTGGTCATTTTTTTTAAGCCACCCTCCTGTTTCTCACTTTTTGGGTGCAGGACGGTGGCCTCCACTGGGTGTGGCTTTTGTGAGTCAGAGTCTTTCTCTCCTCTCCGCTCTGCCTTGTTCTGTGCCTCCTCTTTCCGCATGGGTGTTAGCTTGGATGAAGTGACCAGTGTTAACTTTCTTCAGCACAGCCATCATTAAAGGGGCTCGGTCACGCTATTAGAGAGCCACAGCAAACAACCAGACCTTGAAGACGTATGCCCATCTGGTAGCCCTCAGTGCATTGGCCACCTGATGGGTCCCCTCAGTGTGGGAACCCCAGTGCAGCCACACCGGCCGCACTGGTGGTAGTTTCGCCACTGCGCATTCCTGGTTTGTGTATATATATGAATGGTTTGTTCCAGCACAAATCCCTGGGAGTACCACAAATGCATGGCAACCATGAGGAAGAGGCAAGGAGGATAGCAACAACCAAGTACCTCCAAAGGGTCAGACAGGTCCCAAAGAAAAAGGCAATAGCAAGAACAAGACCCAAGCCATCAACACATATGCCCTACCGGTCATCAGGTACCCAGTTGTAAAAATAACCTGGCCAAGAGAAGAACTGGTCACCATGGATGTCAAGACCCAGAAACTACTCACTATGAATGGAGGAGTCCACCCGAAATCGAGCACCCAGAGACAGTACACCAGCTGGAAGGAAGGAGGTCGGGCCTGATGAGTGTCAAGGCCACAGTCCTGGATGAAACACAGAGCATCCACAAGTACATCACGAAGATGGCTCCCAAAGATGAACTACTGTCAGGGGTCCGGGGGCGGCTACGAGGGGAGGCTGCACGCCACTTGCAGCACTCACCCTCAGTCCGTCGCCGCCCGCGGTCTCCCCTCCTCCTACCTGTCGGCGAGCGGCGTCTCCTCTCCGCCGCTCGCCACTCGCGTCCTCCACGCCTCCCAGCGGCAACATGTATAACGCTGCACGCTGGGAGGTCGCTAATTTATGCAAACGCCGGTGTCACGTGAGTGACCCAGCGTTAAAGCAACAGTACCACAATCACAGTGGGAGGCGTAGATATCTCCCACGTGTGATTGTTAATTCTGATTGGAAGTTATCCAATCAGAATTAAACTAAGGGTATTTATACTTACCTTTCCTGTCTCTCAGTGCCCTGTTGTGGTCTTGTGATACCTGTAGTGCAGTTTGCTTGTGTTGCTCTCTGGTCACCGATTATTTGGCTCGTTATTCCGATTATCCTGTCTTCTCCACTCCTTTGACCTCGGCTTGTTTCTCATTCTCCCGTTTTCTGGCTCCCTTTACTTGGCTTGTCTCCTGACCATTCTTAGTGTGCTTAGCCCGGCCACTCTAAGGACTGGTATAGCACCCTTCCTCTCTGTGACCTGTTAGCGTGTTAGGTTCCAGAATCGTGACAACTACTAAGGAAATACGTGAGACAACAACAAATAGAGGAAGTTCCTTGGCAAGACAAACCTCTCCACCATAGTGGATGTGGCCCTCAAAACAAAATCCTACCAGTGGTTGGAAAAGGCAGGACTGAAAGACAACACTGAGGCACTAATCTTAACAGCACAGGAACAGGCACTCAGCTCCAGATCAATAGAAGTTGGAGTCTACTACACCAGGCAAGGCCCAAGGTGCAGACTGTGCAAAGAGGCCTCTGAGACAGTCCAGTATCTAGTAACTTGATGCAAGATGTTAACATAAACAGCTTACATGGAGAGACACAACCATGTTTCTGGGATTGTGTACCAAAATATCTGTATAGAATATGGATTGGACCTGATGGGAGATACCACAAATTAGAATGACAGGGCTAAGATCTTGTGGGACTTCAAGATCCAGACAGAAAAGCAAGTGCTGGCAAACCAGCCTGACATGGTGGTGGTAGACAAGGAACAGAAGACTGCAGTCGTGGTGGATGTGGCAATTCACAGTGACTATAACATCAGGAAATAGGAACACGAGAAGGTAGGGAAATACCAAGGACTGAAAGAACAGCTAGAAAGAATATGGAAAGTGAAGACAGTAGTAGTTTCAGTTGTGATAGGTATACTCGGGGCTGTGACTCCCAAGCTGGGGGAGTGGCTTCAACAGATTCCAGGTGGGACATCTGAAATCCCTGTCCAGAGGAGTGCAGTTCTAGGAACAGCTAAGACACTGTCCTTTCTTTTTTGCTTTAATGCATTAACTTGGCTTACCCCAAGTTAAAAGGGTAATTCAGACGTGGACCCCATGCTCACTGTACCTAGAGGAATATCAGCTACACTTCACTGACGAGGCTCAAAAGAAGGCTGAAACGATCATCTGGGGCTGCTGTATCTCTTGTGCAGAGAGAACTTTCTGGCATTTTGGATCTGGACTGCCCGTACGGGTGGGACCAGTCTGATATGCTATAGATATGTTCTCTAAAACTATTTTGAGACCTGAGCGGGGATGTGCTGAAGGGCAAGCCATTGAGTCTCTCTAAGCTTTTGCCCGTTCTCATACTTTCTTTTTTTTGTCAATCTCTTTTTTATTGAAGCATAAAATTGTATGGGGTACAGAATGAGAAAGGGGAGACGATAAAGTTTCATACAAGACGGGTATATTACAATGCAGTTTATATCATCTCTGAGTAACTGTTAGCCTCATTTTATATTAAGAAGAGTAAAACAAAGCAGGTACGTAATGCTAGAAAACAGTGCTCTATCTTGCAAGATGGTCTAAATTAAACGTTTAGTTGATAAACTACGCTTTTTCATTAGTCTAATAATTAGCACATTTTTAGAACTGCCTCTTCATATATAAATTATGAGCTTTAGAGAAGCTTAACATGCCACCAGTCTTCATCAGGTGTTAAGGTAAAATATAGGTACAGGCAAGCAGTATACAGTTTGTGCAGTCAAGGTAGCTTAAACGATTATAGGCAAGAAACATGTGAGTGTTTTATATTAAGTTCTCTATTATATCAAGGATCAGCAGTGGTAACTGTTGTTTGTGATTAGTCCCATTATGGCATTTTCGGCTTTAGCCAGCAAACTCGAGTTCAGCCTATTCCCAAAGATGGGAAGCGTGGGCCTTGTGTGTTGAGGGCGCTGGTGGCTGCTGCGCTCTGACGACTCCGTTGGGCATCCCTCCAGCCCCAGGCTGGCTGACAGGCCAGCATCTTCGTGTCACAGACTTGGGGGCTCTTGGGGTCCCAGTCCTCCCCTCTGGGAGGTAAGCAGGAGGTTGTGATGGTAAGTGGCTACTTGTAGCGGGTGATCCTGGATGGACTGGGATAACCCAGGGGGTGGGGGGAACAGGGCTGTGTTGCAAGCTTGGGAGGGCACTAGGTCACACAGAGCGGGGGATCGCCACCTCACCCGTCCGGTGATGCTGCTAGGCCTCACTCCCATCACTCTTGGCAGGCACTCCGTACATCCGCTGGCGGCAGGCCCGGAGCACTTCGGCTGGTTCCTGAGGTAGGTATGACTTGATTCAGGCGTTTGTGAGGGTCCCGGCTGGCTGGTGTGCGGTTAATCAGGCTGGGAGGGAGGACTTGAGCTCGGAGCGCACATGAGGCACGTCCAGCCGCCATGAAGCCCAGGCCCCGCGCCATCCTTTCTTTTTTACTGTGCAAAACCCTCAAACTCCCAGGTCTTTGGTAGAGCACCCAAGAATGAGCAATAAACATAACACCCAGAAGGGGTGAGAAAATAAATGTTTTTATATATATATTGTGGCAGGATGGCCAGGCTCTTCACAATAAACTTTAAATGCAACAGTCAGGATAAAATAGTACTGCAGTTTATTGTCACTTTCCACAATATATACAAGGTTGTGCTCTCCCACAAAATAAAACAAAAAGAAAATAAATCCTACTCCAACTTGGAGACTTACTAAACAACAGTATTACTAACTATTCAACTGGCCAGCTAATCTGGTACCCAGTTTTAAAAAAATGAAATACACCACCTTAACCCCGTAAGGACACATGACATGTGTGACGTGTCATGATTCCCTTTTATTCCAGAAGTTTGGTCAGGTTTCACACAGTACCTTTTTCTCAGAGTCTCAGGCTTAACTGCCTCCTCTCTCCCAGCTGTTAGATTCCCCCATGTCTTCAGAGGCTAACCTTTTAAAACCCTAGTGCTGGTTAATTACATTCACCTGGTTGATAACATTCAAGGGGTGACTCCCACCAATTAACCCCATCATGCTGGGAATAGAGAGCACCCCAATCTATTACTAACATAAAAAGCCTCTCTGACCCTGCCACAATATATATATATACATATATATATATATATATATATATATATATACACACACACACACACACACACGACTGCAGTACCCCTATTCCCCCCCTCCAGCCCATACTGTCTGAGAGAGAGAGAAAGAGTGTATGACTGACTGACTGACTGACTGCGTGCGTGCGTGCGTATGTTTGTGTGTGTCTCTGCCTGTACCTGTTTGTGTGTGACTGTCTGCCTGTATTCACACATGGGCCTACATGCATTTTTATTTGTTTAATCTGAATTAATTACCCATAACAAATACCACATACAGTCAATACACCCTTAACAAATATCACACACAGAGGCGGATGCACAGACCAGATTTCCAGCACACTGGACCACCAGAAATCAGTCTTGATAATTATTAATTTAATAAAGCCACCTTTACAAACACCACACCCTTATACATACATTATAGATAAGACCAGGGAGGTGCGCCGTGAAGATTTTTGAAAGAACTAAGACCAGCCCTGACCATGCACTGCTGTCTCTGGTGTCTAGTGGTTAGGGAAGAATGGAATCCTATTTGCTTCCACTTAGTGTTCAGCAGTAACCAGGCAGCGGGTAAAGGCCCCAATGCTGATTTAGCTCTGCCCCCTTACTTGCAGGCTGGTTTTCAAAATGTGCCACTGCACTACTGGTCCCTGTGTGTGCCACTGCACCACCAGTCCTTATGGTGCCCTGTGCAACCGCACAGCTTGCACACCTCTATGCCCGGCATATGGTAACGGTTGTCACTCCCTGATGGCCGCCCTTATCAAAGATGGAGGCCCTGATCATTCTCATGCCGAGGGAGTAGTTTCTTTTCTTTTCTGTTTTTTGGAGTTAAAGTTGTTTTAATATTCCATATTTAAACTATAAAAAGTTTTACATGTATATACGGTAACATTTCCAAAACAATTCTGACAAACAGGAGAATACAATATGAAACCTGTAGCATGGCATGATAAAATATTTTTTTGTAGAAAACAAAAGTTGGGTGGTGGTTACTTGTCCATTTAATCATATATAAGCAATAAGACTTACTAGCCAGACTAGTATAAGCTCTCAATATTGTGGATACACTTTATAGGGGAATGTGTGAGGCACAGTTAACTATGCAAACTTTTCAGGCAGTGGACAGATTATATATAGAGTTGCAAAAACTAAAACTGGTAGAGCGAGTCATTACTTATTTGCATTTTGTAAAATTAAAAAAAAATTAAAAATTAATTGGCGCTATACCAATTTCCTTTTATTTTAAATTGGTGCTATAAAGCGATACAATAAACCAGTTATATATGCCAAGCCAACAGCAGCCTTCAGGTACAGCAAGACATCCTGCGACTAGTTTACAGTAAAACGTGTCAGTTAGAATTTTAAAAATGTATTACTGTTTTATTTTGTGTTAAAAACATTTCAGCATTCTAGACAAAAAAATTAAAACAGAACAAAAAACAAACAATGCAAGTAAGGTAAATGTACAGAATCTGTTTGAACTTCCAGATACTTTACTCAATCTTCACTTTATTCAGGGAAGATATGAATACAGTCTTAGTTTAAAAACTACCGCACTTAACTATTTATTTTAAAAAATCCCATGTCTCTCATGCCAGCTGAATCCCTTTGACAGCCAATGGCAGAATTCTATTTCACTATATACAGAAAGGAAAAAAATTTAAAAAAGCTAAACTGACGCCTAATGTAGTGTAAAAATTGATCAACGTGCATGCTTTGGGTCTCAAAGGCAAACCTTAGGAAGGTGTGAAAATCCAGGAATGTATAAACCCTGAAGTACCAACACTGGTCTAGTTTACACATTAGATATGTACAGTTTATAACTCAGGATTTTCTAAATAAAAAAAAAAATTTGTAACAAAAAAAATAAAAAAAATGCTTGAAACATTTTTAAATGCTTTGTTACACCAACAGCTTTTCATTTTTTTTAAATGTTTGGAAATATATACAACTTTTTTACAGTTTCAGATTGCTTGTTTTAAAGACATGGCTACATAATGTAAACCTGTTGCAACTCCATAAGCTTTGTTTTGTTTGTTTTTTTGAAACTATGCTATCATAACCCAAATTGCAAAAAAACCTAATGTGGGAGGTTGACTATCGTGTAAGACAGCAACAGATGACGGTTCCCCTACTCTATGGTATTCACATGGACAGAATATACAACTTCTTTATCATCATCATCTTCTTCCTCAACCTTTTTCCGGGCACTTTAAGGAGCAACCTTAGCGCAATCAACTTTACCTTTGGACTTGTAGTACACAACATTCTTCTCATACTTTTCCTTCAGTTTCGTGCCCTTATTATTGTAGGGCTGCTTTTCACTGTCACTCAAGTTAGTCCACATCTCGCCCAGCTTTTTTGCTACATCACCAATAGAGATGCCAGGATTTGTGGATTTGATTTTAGGATGGAATTCTGAGCTGAACAGGACCTTAACAGGTCCAAAGTCTTTCATCTCCCGGTCATATCGTACTTGATCTTGTTTTGCCAGATCCTCAAATTGCATTTTTTCTTGGCTGATAATATCTTCCATCTCTCTGAGCATTTCTTGGAGAACTCTGCAAAGTTGACAGGAATTTTAGGGTTCTTCTTCTTGTACTCCTCACGACATGTCTGCACAAAGTAGGCATAAGCAGACATCTTACCTTTTGGCTTCTTTGGATCATCTTTTGCCATTTTGCAACTGTATTGTTCAGCTAATGTGGAGCCCTGCGCATGCCGCTCACTCGAGGGAGCAGTTTCTGTGGCAGTGTATGCAGCGGCCAGGCCACGTGAAAAGGAGACTACAGAACTGACTGTTCTCCTTCTCAGATGGCTGCTGACCTGCAGCACCAAATGGAGGAGATCACTATCTTCTGTGCAACCTTCTCCATGCATGCAAGGAAGGGAGAGAGGGCCAAAAGAAGACAGCCAGCAAAGAAGGGGCCATGCAACGCAAGTAAGAGCAATTACCCTCCCCTACTTTAGCCTGTCCTTCACACCCTCTACTGCAGCTATGGGACATGTCTGCCACCAGCCTGCCCAGCAAGGGACTGCCTTACCCACCGCAGTGGCCAGCCACCTATGCTCACCAAGTGTGAGTGTCTGCATTGGTCATTGTGTGTCTACATGGGTCATTGTTTGTCTGCATGGGTCAGTGAGTCTGCATGACAAATGAAGGGACTGCGGGGTTGTGTTGAGGAAACTGGCCTTGGGGCGGCTCCCTTACTGCCACCTTGCATTGAGATCTATAGATATATATATATTTAAATTCCCTTCCTCTCTTCCTTGTCCCCCTCCTTACTCCCTCCTCCATTCTGCTGCTCAGAGCATGCTGGTCTATAAAAAGAATTTGATTGGACCTTGCGAGGGAAGCAGTGAAGCCGGACAGGGAGTGGAGACCAGCAATTAAATCTTTGTCTAGCGCTGGATTCAAGGTAAGTTTAAAATTTATTTGACAAGGATTACTTCAATATATGTAATTACTAATGTATAACAAGGTATTCTTTTCAAATGTTTTATTGAATGTTTTAAATATGATAATAAACCATAGAATAATAATGATAATAATATCAAACAAACAAGGAAAACGGGTAAACACAAAAGTACTATTAATATATACAAGGCATTCTAAATTAGAAAAAAACAATACAAAATGAAAAAAATTAAAAGAGTTGAAGTAACCTTTTAAAATGTTTTAAGTTTACATTGCATACATTTAAGGTCACTGGACTCACTTTACTCCTCTGGTTTATAACTGTACTTTGCATTATAATATGTCTTCTTAGCATTTTGTAGACGTCTAGCCAAGTACCAGTGAAAGGCAATGGAGGTTGGACGTTTTGTGTTGCACTGTGTAAGCTACAGATAACAGATTGATGAGATGCAATTATGGTGATCTAAGTCATCTACACAAATCTTGCTGTGTACACAGTCACAATCATAAATACACGTACGTAAGAAACAAACAGATAAGAATTTCTGATACAATTACTTGACATGTCAACTTACCGATACTAATGCAATTTTGCAGTTGTGACATACAGGAGTGTGTTATTAACATGGACCAAAAGTGTCTGTAAATATGTGTGGTTATTTTTTTTATAAAATCAGTGACTGTAAATGAGTATTTTTGAAAGCTTTAACTTTGGACTATGTCACTTAGGCCATAAATATGTCATCTTGGCTCTAGTGAAATTAGGGCCTTATCTTTATCTAGCTAAGCACAGAGTGGGTTTTTTCCTGTGAGGTGTGTTTAAAACATATATGTAGAGACTTTATATATGAGGACAAAAAGAGATGCGAGATTCTTCTTAAAGGAACACTATAGCGTTAGGAATACAAATATGTATTCCCAACGCTATAGAGCCCTTGTCACCTAAACGGTGATTAGGGCCCTGTTCCACGGCGAATAAATGGTTAATTAACCATTTATTTGCTTACCTTAATCGAGCGCCGGGCTCCCTCGGCGCTGGTGACCTCTCCTTCTCCATCCACATCAGCTCCTGGGTGGAGCCGAATGCGCATGTGCGGTCAGAGGTGTGCGCACATTCAAACCCCGCCCGTAGGAAAGCATTATTCAATGCTTTCCTATGGGGATCTTTTTTGATGCTGGAGGTCCGTGAGGACGTCCAGCATCAAATAAGTGCGATTTACTCCGTGTAAGTCGTGGAATAGTGTAAATCGTGGAGACAGCCACTAGAGGCTGGATTCACCCTGCAGTGTAAACATAGCAGTTTCAGAGAGTTTTCAGCTGCAGGGTTAAAACTAGGGGGACCTGGCACCCAGACCACTTCATTCAGCTGAAGTGGTCTGAGGGCCTTTAATATTCATTCTGCAACTATTCAGATAACACAGGTAATCCATGTGAAATAAAGTTCGATGATTTTTCTGTTTTGGCAAGGCTTTTGCACAAGTAATTATTTCTGGTGCCAATCTGTTCTAACAAATGTAAAGACAGAAATAGTGTTGCAATTGTACAATTTTCTCTTGGAAATGCATATTACTACCTATTGGAGTTTTGAGATACATTTTCTATTTTTCTTTGTTGCTTTTGGGTATATCACATTTTGATATGAAATAGACAAGTATGTAGTTGCTATAAAGTTTATGTCACTAACTATATTGTATTTAAACAATTTTTATTCCCTCTAGCATGTAAACTCATCGAGCATTCCCTCTAGCATGTAAGCTCATATTCCCTCTAGCATGTAATCTCACCCACAACCCCCTCTGTTCCTGTACGTCCAGTGGTCTGATCTCAATTATGTGTCTGTTAGTCCACCCATTGTACAGCGCTACGGAATTTGTTGGCGCTATATAAATAATAAAATAATAATAATAATAATAATAATAGAAGTTCCAAGTTGCAGTTTTTTTATTTTTCATGTTTGATACTATAAGGTTATTAGGCAATAAACCATTATCCAGAAAGGTAAAAAATACAGGAAAGGGCTGCGCTTGGATAAAACTTTGAATAATACGAAAAGTCCAGATAAAATCAATGGATAAAAGGAGAAAGTCTTATCTGGCAATGTCCGTTGAAATTGTATTATGTGATGGTACTTGGTCCAAAGCAGTAGTCTTACTTGTTATCTTCCTTGTAGGTCGTCTCATATGCAAGAGAATAAAAACAAATAGAGAGCCAAAATAGTGTAGTATATCTTGAATAATAAGTTGAAATGTAAACCTTGATTGCAAACTCACATTTAAAAGAGCTAAAACCCGCTCTGGTATAAAGGGCGTACAGCGGTTTAGATCCCCGCTTGTAGGATATGGAAATGACTCTCCTTTGCATACTTCCTCCTTCCGTAATATGAAAGACACTTGAGTAAAAACTTAGGATAAAATATATATAAAATAGAAGTGGATACTCACAAGACAGGAGCAGATCAACTGCTCCTGGTAGTTCGCGTAGGTGGTATAATCCCCACCTAGGATTGCTTGGAGTCCAACGAATAAAAAGGAATGGTGCCAGGTAACAATAATGAATATATGTGTATAAAAAGATAAATGGTACGATAAAAGGTTACCAAATATGCTTTAATATTTAAAATTACACAATATAAAAACCGTAAACGCGTTTCGCCAGTCGGCGTTATCAATATGGGGAAAGAACCTGATACCTGGCAGTGGATCCTTTAAATAACATATACAGACATTCAAAAATTGGCGCCAAAATTTGGACAGCCAATCAAAATCCGAGTATGATTACATATATTAAAACATGATTAAAACTAATGTAGTGAAGTACATAACAAATAAGATTAAAATAAATATTATAAAAATTTAATTTTATATTTAAAATGAACTAGATATACAATGAAATGAATATAGTAATGCACGGTCACATGACCAGCATCTAGACCGAGGGGTATTGTGGGGCATGTAGTATGACGCCGGTAGGCACTGCGCAGCCACGGCGTCATAATGGGTGGCAGGCAACTGGCGTCAACTCGCAAAAGGGATGCGGCTGACGCCAGTGTGCGGAATGAGAGACGTCAGCGCGCAAACGATGCGGCTGACATCAGAAAGGGGGCGGAGATAATGATGACGGCGGCACGCACGGAACTGCGGCCGTCGTCATCAGGAAGGGGTGTGTGAATAGACGACGGCTGGCACGAAGCTGCAGCCGTCGTCATGGAAATCAAATAAACAAGACGGCCCGCACAAAGGCTGCGGCCGGCTGAGATAGGATAAAATAATGAGATAATAAATAATAAAATAAAATATAAAATATCGTGAAAATTTTCATGATGACGGCTGCAGCTTCATGCCAGCCGTCGTCTATTCACACACCCCTTCCTGATGACGACAGCCGCAGTTCCGTGCGTGCCGCCGTCATCATTATCTTCCCAAGGTAAGCCAAGAAGAATTATTTATTAAATTAGAAAATATTTTAAGTAAAGAGATCAAGTTAAAATGGGAGATAGCTACCCTAAAAAAATACATGGATGAACAAATCACTCCTCGAGGCTTACGACTACTCAAATTACCCACCTCACACCAGGACAATTTAGAATTCATGGAAGAGTGGAACAATAAGTTGGAACTTTGTACTTTAGGTCTTATGGAAACTTTAATAATAAAAAAAAGTTAAAAATTGTCAGTTTTAGATGTAGAAATTAATGACATTCGAGACAAACTCTTGCCATTTACAGAAACACAGGCATATAAACAAAATTCCATTCTAATTCAAAGTAAAATCGAAAAGGTTGAAATCGAAACAAAACATATAAAAATTTAAAAATATATTAGAGATAAAACGGATTACTCAAATAAGCAAGTCAGAACCTACCATCTAAATAAGAAATATACCTCTCAATATCCTTTTCCAAAAAATAACTTTACGAAAAACAATACCTATCGTGAACAAAAACCTTACGAAAATCCAGAGAGGCAACATTTTAAATACCAGTCTCATCAATATCAGAGCACTAACAAACCGTCACATTCACCACAGAACACGCACATACATAGGGCACCTAGTAACCACTTTCGTGGTCCCCCACAATGATCAAATCACTACAATACTCATCAATATCACCCCTTTCCACAACGTAACCGAAATAATTCATTTCGTACCTATCACAATACTTCACCAATATATCACAACAAATCTGGACCCCAATATAAACACCTGTCCCCTAAACCACAAAGATCAAAATATATCAATGACCATAAAGAATATTTCAATTATTCCAAATCACCCACGATTCCGAATCACCCCAACAGATTTCAATTACTGTCATTAGATTCCGAATTTGAAAATGAAGACCATTTTTTAGAAATTCGAACCAACCACACCACACTAGCCCAAACACCTCACCCCTCACGTCCGAAAAAAAGGATTTTAAATCTAGAGGAAGAAGAAGTGGCAGACGCGAACAAAAGAGAAAGACTAGAAAGATAACACCCTCTTTTAATGGTACTAGCGGCGGCATTTTTAACCTTTCACAAAAATTTTTAAGCAGTACACATCTAGCAGTTTTAACTAAAGGTCTTAAGTTTGCCCCTACTAATACTTTTAAATCTTTTTACGCTTTTATTGATGTAAACAAATTCGTTAGAAAAGCCACCCTCAAAAGATTTTTTATGGAAAAACTGAACAAAATGCTACTCAAACCCCGCCAACACCCTCTCGGAATGACAATATTATTAATACTTCGCTCAGAAAGAAATCTACTTTTTATCCTGCTCATTTTAAGTCTGCTCCCCTCACTATGTTTGAAAAATTAGTCACAAAAGACCTAGAAAAAATAAGAAATAATAAATACGACCCCCATAACTAGCTGGCATTAAAAGAACTCCAAAATGACGAAAATATTGTCATTAAGCCAGCGGACAAAGGCAGAGGAATAGTCATTCAATCAACTCAAATGTACATAGATGAGGCACACAGACAATTAAATGATGTTAACGTGTATGAAAGACTTTCATCAGATCCTATTAAACAAATCCAAAAGTTTTTATCCAATTTTTAAATAAAGGTGTGAAGTTAGGCATTTTAAACAAACAAGAATTTAATTTTTTAAATAATCAATATCCCGTAACACCTGTAATATACTTCCTCCCGAAAATTCATAAAAGTGAAACTTTACCGCCTGAAAGACCAGTCGTATCAGGCATAGGTTCCCTTCTATGTAATCTTTCCCAATATATAGATATTCTTTTACAGCCTTCAGTCAAACTCATGAGATCATATCTCCAAGATTCCATGGCTCTTTTAAATTTTTTAAACAATTTTATATGGAAATCTAGTTTTATATTAGTGACATGCGACGTTCAGTCACTATATACTATTATACCTCATGATATAGGCTGTCAAGCTGTAAAAGATATTTTAACTAAAGAAGGGAAAATTGCAGGTCAACAGATAGATTTCATTTTAGAAGGTATTAACATTATTTTAAAAAATAACTATTTTTGGTTTTTAAATTCTTTTTATCTTCAAAAAAGAGGTACTGCCATTGGGACCAGGTTTGCTCCCAGCTATGCAAACTTATTTATGGCCAACTGGGAATCAGAAGCCATTTTTAGTAATCACACGTGGAGAGCAAACCTGGTCTCCTTTTTTAGATATATTGATGATCTTTTCTTTATTTGGGATGGTACTGAAGAAGCACTTAACTCTTTTATTACCAATCTCAATCTGAACAACAGAGGTATAATCCTCACCTATGAATATAGCAGAGAACAAATTAATTTTTTAGACCTTAATATTTTTATAAAAAATGGTAAGGTACACACAAAGACATTTTTTTAAAAAAGTTTGTGTTAATACTGCTATTGACAAGAATAGTTGTCACTACCAACCGTGGTTAGACAGCGCTCCAAAAAGCCAAATACTTAGACTCAGGAGGAATTGTTCAGAACTAAGAGATTTCGATCTACAAGCAACCTTTTAAAAGATAAATTTGTTGAAAAAAATTATTCAAAATCAGAATTAGAAAACACCGTTATGGAGATTCAAAAAAAAAGATAGGAACGAACTTCTAAAATATAAACCCAAAACGACAGATACAAAAATGCCTTTACCGATTATTTGTAATTTTAATAATGTAAAAAAGGTTATAAGAAAACACTGGCACCTTCTAAAACAAGACGAAATATTAAACAAAATTATACCGGAACGTCCGAATATTATATTTAGGGCTGCCCAAAATTTTAAATCTATATTAACCAATAATTTTACAAGAGAAACTAAAAAAAACCCTCTTTTATCCTTTTCCCCACAAATTAAAGGTTTCTGTAAGTGTAAAATTTGTATTGTGTGTAGAAACACTAATCCTGATGTTCCTTCTAAAGTAACAGAATTCGTATCAAAAAGGACAAACAAGGTTTACAAAATAAATGATTTTATTAATTGTTCCACAAAAAATGTGATATATCTGCCCGAATGCCCTTGTGGCCTCCAATATGTTGGAATGACCACAAGGTGCTTAAAAATACGTTTGAGCGAACATTGCAGAAACATCAAGAATGGATACTTGAATCATTCAGTATCCAAACATTTTATTATACATAATAAAGATCCTAAAATGTTGAAATGTATTGCTATAGGAAAATGCACGATTCCATGGAGGGGTGGAAATATTAAAAATATTTTAGGCAGAAAAGAAATGGAGTGGGTTTATAAACTTCAAACCCTTGCACCTTATGGTTTAAATGTTGATTTTGACTTGTTTAATTTTTTATAAGGAATGTTCACTCATTTTTACATACTTTTAATAAATGCCTTTTTAATACTTGCCTTTTTAAATTTATAACTATTTACTTTTTAGCCAACCTGCCTGCTCACACTATTTAGTGGACCAGGCATGGTGATGTGTGTTTTTATTTTTATTCTTAATTTTCACGATATTTTATATTTTATTTTATTATTTATTATTTTTTATCTCATTATTTTATCCTATCTCAGCCGGCCGCAGCCTTTGTGCGGGCCGTCTTGCTTATTTGATTTCCATGACGACGGCTGCAGCTTCGTGCCTGCTGTCGTCTATTCACACACCCCTTCCTGATGACGACGGCCGCAGTTCCGTGCGTGCCGCCGTCATCATTATCTCCGCCCCCCTTTCTGACGTCAGCCGCATCGTTTGCGCGCTGACGTCACTCATTCCGCCCACTGGCGTCAGCCGCATCCCTTTTGCGAGCTACATACTACATGCGCCACAATACCCCTCGGTCTTGATGCCGGTCATGTGACCGTGCATTACTATATTCATTTTATCGTATATCTAGTTCATTTTAAATATAAAATTACATTTTTATAATATTTATTTTAATCTTATTTGTTATGTACATCACTACATTAGTTTTAATCATGTTTTAATATATGTAATCATACTTGGATTTTGATTGGCTGTCCAAATTTTGGCGCCAATTTTTGAATGTCTGTATATGTTATTTAAAGGATCCACTGCCAGGTATCAGGTTCTTTCCCCATACTTGATAACGCCGACTGGCGAAACGCGTTTATGGTTTTTATACTGTGTAATTTTAAATATTAAAAAAATGTGCACAGTTATAGGCTGACCCAATACAAAAATTCCAGCAAGAACATGTGACACAGCGTAGGCATCACTCCTAGCTGGCTCCACAAAAAGGCAGTGACTTTATACTGCTCCAATGGACAAAACAGACACATTAATATCAAAATAAGTGTAGTATAGTATTTGCATATATGCAGATAAAGACAAAGCTGTACATTCACATTTTTACAATGTAACAAAACATGTAAACTTGAGCAGTGAGCAGGAAAATGAGGAGAAACATGAATAGTTCTCGGTAAGGTCAGCTTGTTAGGTGGAAGATGAAATACAACGAAAGGCATAACCACTTCCAGGATCGATAGACCAAAGGTTGTCCATATCAAGCTTGGATCATATGACTAAGGTCTAAATTGTTAAACCTGTCAAAGACATTAATAAAAAACATAACAACCATTATTTCTACTTAGTAATAGACAGTATACTTGCTATAGGGTGGCTTTTATTTGAAACTTCAATGATGTCAATGATGCGTCAAGGTTGGAATATAGTATTTACATATAGAAATTAACTTTTTGACCATTAAGCCTTTGTTATTTAAAGTCCAACTTGAGATATGAAGCTGATGCACAACAGTAATGTCTCTATTATTTAAAGAAACCCTAGAGTCACTCGGACCACTTTATCTAAATAAAATGATCAGGGTGCAGTTGTCCTGTCATTTTAACCCTGCAACATAGAACATTGCTGTCAGTGTAATGTTTACGCATAGTAACATAGAATGTGACAACAGATAAGAACTGTTT